AGAAGCATTTTTCAAAGAACAAAAATGCAGACTATTCTTTAAGTCCTTAAAAATAAAAAGGCAAGGATAGAACATACGGAAGTGCAATGATAAATAAAAGCTTCCTAATATTTAAAACTAAAGACTAAGTATAAACTTAGTCATCAAATTGTTTATACTAAATGACCCCATAATAAGACTTGGGGAACTCGAATTTCCAAAAATCAAACCCTCAAATAGTAGCCAAAGGGTTTGAATTACAAAAACTCTCAAATGAACCCAAAAGCTTTAAATACTGGTTTTCCAAATAGGTACCTGCAAAAAGGAATTCAAAAATAGATATAAATTTTTACTGAGAGGAAAAGATTGAAGGAGGATCATCAGCGTGCTCAACTGGAACATTATCACCAACGGAAGTGGGTTGATTTCCGATCATTGGAGTCTCAATAGATGAAGTTTCGATTTGACTTGCAGTAAGGGGCACGATTGAGCTTGAAGAGGGTGCATCACCCGAGGCAATTCCAGCGGTCACGGGAACATCGACTCCGGTAGCTTCAGCTTCGGAAACTTCAATCGCGGGAGAAGGGAAGTCCAATAGTTGTTGAGCTTTTTCAATAGTTTCCATCACCTTGGCTAATTCTGACTCCAGATTAAAGTTTTCTTGGCTGGCTTCAACTAAGGCATCACGTCGGGAGTTCAGAAAAGCCCAGCTTACATCAACTGCAGCCTTATCTTCAAGAAGCTCATAATCTCTTTCCCAAGCAACAATTTCGTTTTTGAGACTCTCATTTTCATTCAGAGCTGAGTTATAAGAGGCTTGGAGAGAGGCATGAGATTTTTCTAAGGCCTTCACCTGGTCTTCGGAAGTTCGCAGATTTTCTTGGGTTTGAGTCAAATTCTGCATCAAGTCTCCAGCATAAACTTCTTTTTGGCTTAAAAGAGCTCTCAGCTCTCTAATCTCTTCACTTGATTTAGATAATTGTTCTGAGAAAGAAGACTCGAGACGCTCTCTTTCTTTATCAGCCTAACTTGAAGAAGCCTTAACAATCGCAAGCTCTGAAGTTAATGCTCTCACTTGCTGTTCCAGGTTATTCCTGCTCTCTTGTAAATCTTCTATCGTTATTTGAGCACTATCAAATTGGTCCTTCCAATTAGCTGCTTCCAACTGAAAGTCACGAGCTTCCCTCTCTGAATCAAGAACAGCCTTTTCAGAGTCACGTGCTACCTTCTCTAATAAAGAAATTCTGCTCATCAACTCTGTACCAATAAGGTTGGCCTGAAAATGATAAGGAAAGAAAAATTAGAATTCTAGAAAAATTCTGGCAAAATTAAGGAAAGAAGGGGCATACCTTCAAAGTAGAATGAACTATGTCGTTCATCAGAGTCAGGCAGCTGTGGCTATTCATTTTTTCTTTCTCAATTGGGCCTATTAAAGGTTCAAGCCAAACATCCGCCTGACCGGATTTCCTCAAAAGGCTGTTGTTAGCAGGCACTTCGATAGTCACGCTCCTCATAGCAATTCTTTTGCTTGTAGAACCCGCTTCTACATTGTGAACAATAGAAGGAGGAGCGGTAGAAGAAGTGAAAATAGCAACGGGAGGTGAAGAAGAAGTTGGAGAAGATACGGAAGGAACTAAAGGCACGACAGAAGAAGGAAGGGAAGGAACTAAAGGTATTGGAATTGAAGAAGAAGATAGGGGAGGTTCATCCAAAACGGGTCCTAACTCGCCACTCTCAAAAACACTAACGAAAAGCTGGTTAATCGACTCATGAGTATCAGGAAGGGTAGCAACATCATCGTCAGAGACGAGATTAACATGCCCGGTTGGAGAAAGATGATGTGAAACTTCAGCTTCATCAGAGACGATACGTCTCCGAACTCTTGGCCTTTTCACTAAGGAACCATCCTCCTCTTCTTCGTCGGAGCTATCATCGTCTACAGTTTTTCTTTTCAAAAGAATATCCTGAGCACTTTCTAAAGAAAGTTGAGTTCCTAAACGAGAAGCTGCAACTGCTTCAGCCGTAACACCTCGAATAGCGAAACCTGACAAAGATAAAATTGAAAGTTAAGGCAATAAAGAGAAATATCTTACATACGAGAAAGACAAAAACTCATACTGTGAGTCTTTACTTTCCAACCATGACGATTGAAAATAAATTTCCAAGACCTAGCCTCCATAGGAGCAATCTTCAACAATTTATCTACCCAACCACGAAAATTGGGAATGTTCTCCACAACTCCCATGGTTGCTAAAGAAAGAAAAAAAAGAGAAACAAAGTTAAAGAAATTTGTAAACTCAAAAGAGAGAGGTACGGGAGAGATGAAAGACTTACGTGCAAAATTCCACTTCTCAGGGAAGGGAACGTTTTGTTCACCCACTAAACCAACTGTGGGAGCAGCAACAAAATGGGCATACCAGCCACGATCCTTATCATCTTCTGGGCTTACCAATACTCTCTTACTCCTAGCCACTAAGGTAAAGAATCCATTACGAAAAAGTCTAAAGGAGTATAGATGAATTAGGTGGGAGAAGGTGAAATTAACGTCTGCTAAATTGGCCAGATGCCTTAAACAAGCAACAACCCTCCAAACAAGCGGGCCAACCTGTGCTAGACAAACTTTGAAGAAACGACAGAAATCGAGAATTACTGGGTCAATAGCTGGTTTAAACCCAAGAGTAAAAGGGTATGTGTAAACGAAAGAGAATCTAGTCATATATGAAGTAATCCTCTGATTTGGATTGGGGATTACAATGGGAAAATCATTACTCCAGTGACAATCTTTGCGAACTATGGGAGCTAAAATCTCTGTAATCATAGTGGGGTAAGCATCAACTCGATCCAAACCAGAAATTTGGGTCTGAAGTGATTGTCTATCATGCTGAAAAGATAAATCGTTAGGAACTATTTCTTCTACCAAGGGTTCCTGTATTGGTTCAGAGGCCTCCTTGCTCTTAGAAGATGATTTTTGAGAAAAAGAACCTCTAGTTCTAGAGGAAGAACCAGGGCTAGGAGAAGGCATGGCAGAACCACCACCACGAGAGGATCCTAAGCTACGAAGTCTCCCACCTCTTCTATGTCTAACAGGAGCATTGGGAAAATTGTCTAAAATAGGAACTCTCTTAGGGTTAGGGTTCGAAGAAGACATGATGAAGAAGAGAAAGAAGTAAACAGAGATTCGCACAATTCAAGCGTTCAAGGAAAAAGTTTTATGTGGTAAAAGGTGAAAGGAAAAATTGAATTTATACTGATGGGCGACTGTGGTAAAAATTTGTGGAAGAAGGGTTAAGTTTATATAAAAGCGACCGTCAAAGACTAAGAAGTGTAATGATGGAAAGCCTATAATAAAGGCAACTATCACTTCGTGAATGGAGGAGTTGAAGAAGCCTTGGAAAAAGGCTGCAAAAATTGCAAAGCTAATGAGAGGGTGACACGTATGCAATGCATTAAATAGAAAAGACAACTGAAGCGTTAGTACTGTCATAGCATTGATTATGGCAAAAATTCCCTTTTTAATGAAAGATCCACTTCCCAAATATTTAATTGATAAATAAATGGAAAGTGGGGGGACTATCTGTATTGGGAAAAAACTGAATTTAAATATTGAAGATGACGTGTCATGACACGTGGACCGGTCAAATAGTCAAAACGTGGTAATCAGTTAGAAGGCACGAGCAACAACAGATGCGGGAGAGAAGATACTTAAAGGCACGAGCTATTATTCAAATGAAACGAGACTCGTACCTGTTCGAGTCATTTAAAGTTCGAAGATCAGAAGGAATTGGAGACATGAATCTGATAGCGAAAAAGAGTCCAAATTCAGCATTAAATGCCAAATACGTTAGAGAATTTGTATTTAATATGAATGATTGAGTAACGTTTCTTTCAATATCATTTATTGCTCGTAATTGTCTCATTAAAACAAAGGCATTACACTTTCTCTTAAAAATTAACTATAAAAAGAGGAAGTCACAACATCTGTAGGGGACACGAAAAACACTACTGGAATATACTTTGTTCTATTTGCTTTCTGATTATATCATTCAAAATTTCTTTCTTATATACTTTTCCGATTATCAGTAACCCGAGTTCTTCAAAATTTGAACTTTGACCTAAAATCTAATTTTTGGTTAAACACTATTTGAATAAGATCAAGTCAAGTCCGACAACAAAAAAACCGCTAGAACAGTCGTAGGCATAGTAGCTTAAAAGTTCAATATATACTTGAATACAGCATAGTACTCATTATATTGGATAAGTGATTGCACCTTTTTATGCCAATGTAAAGCATAGCCACAATATTTTTGACCAAGAAACACGATTTTGCATTGAACTTGGCGAGTTAAAAGGAAGAAATGTGATCTATACATAATTTGAAAGAATTTAACTTATATACACCGATAGTTTAAAGAATTTTTATACTATTGTGTCATCTTTATTACTGTAAAGAATTATAAATAAAATTGACCTGATAGTGTAAAAGTTTCTTCGATTGTCGTTGTATAAAAGTTAAGCTCAATGCAAAATAGGCAACAAGGCCACATTAGATAAACTTATTACCGAAGATGTTCGATAGTTTTCTGCTTACATAATTGAAAGGGGTAAAAAAAAAAAAGAGAAAAAAAAACGCAATAGAAGACGAAGAAAGGACCCCTTCTTGCTATGCAGATCCTTGGTTTTTTCATCAATTAAGGCCCTTCGATTTACCTGCAATTGAAAAGGGTGCATATAAACATAAATTTTAAATTACAGAATATTAGTTATTATTTTCAGCTGTGCATTTCAAATATCAAATGAAGAAAAAAGATATTACAATACCTTGTGGCCGAATTCATATCATGTTGACTCAGTGCAAACCGAGATTGGGGAGTACATTGCGCCTGTCAGGAGGTACTTTTTCTTCTACCGGGTTACCAGCATTTCCAGCAACTTCTTCCTGTACTGGAGGAGGATCATATGCGCCTTTCCACCCGCGATTAGGATGAGAATTCATGTGCCCGAACAACGCTTTAATCAAATGAAATTCTCTTCTAGACACCGTGATACATCGTATGTTCTCGGGCGGAGGAACATACTCATGAGGAGGAGGATTCGCAGATAGGGGCGCAACCACCAGTGGAGGCGCATTCGGCCTCACGTTACGGGGTTGGTTGGCCGTACCCACGGATCGTCCCGCTACTGACGATCCTTTCCCTGCGGTCAACATGCTACTCTAGTAGTATTTTGGGAGCAAGTTCTTTTTGAGGTTTTGGACGAGCATGTTGTTTTTCTCTCCAATTTGAGGATCCTCTGTTGTAGCTTTTCGGTCCGTTTCAACCTAATTAAAAGAATATATATATATATATATATATATATATATATATATATTATTAATTTAGAAAACATAGCTCACTTTTAGTATTTTTAAAAAGTAATTAATCGTCATTAATGGTAAAAAGATGTTGAAATTACTAAAGCATTTTGATGTATGGGCACCAGAAAGGAATCAAAATCAGCAAAGGTTGAATCGAGCATGTTTTGATTATTATTGTTGGTGCTTTCTTGTGAAAATGCTTCTTCATTCGATATTTTAGTTCCAAAAAGTTCTAGTATAATGTGCTGAGGGTCACAAAATAGAAAAGAATTAGGAACGTCATGCAATGTACTATTTCACCAGAAAACGCTTATAAAAGCATATCTAATCGAATCAACATAAATTGTTTTTGTAATATGCTAATGTAGAAATATGAATATAAGGATACCATATATAAGTTATAGAATCTATGTTTGGATTGCCGTAATTATTTAGGAGTATAAAGTAATCACTAAATTATGTCATTTCAATTTAACTGATAGAGTTGTTCCAAAAAGAAAAATATTATTAAAATTATAGAAAATCTATAGCATATCATGTGGAACGTTTTGGAGGCTATTCCTTTTTTTCCTTCCCAAATATTTTATACAAACTTAGAATTATAAAATTAATTGATTTAAAAAGAATATAATCCATGTAATAGATATATCTAACAAAAGAATAAGTGAGAAAATATGTGGGAAGTGCTTCTATATTCAATAAAGAAATACTTAGCAACCTTAAGTAGAGCAAGTTCACATAGCAATAACTCCAACATGGACCTATCAAAAAAAGGAATATTAAAACAAAGGTATCAATCAAGATCGTCTAATAAATAAAAATAAAATAAAATCAAAGTCAAGAAATATAAAATGAAAAAAGTTACTTTTAATATTTGGAAATATTTTTTCAAAAGCTTTTCTAATTCAAAATGAGGAATGCCACCTGATATATGAAATTTTTGGATAATCTCTCCTCCGTTGTCTATAATATTCTTGCTCAATAACTTCTATCTGCAATCATTCCATAAAAATGAAAAATTAGAAATATATTTTTTTTAGAGTTAAATTAGTAACTTGTTGCTTACACGTTATAAATCATTACACATACAAATCTACTAAAAACTAAAAATTCAAAACAAAAAAAAGGTTAAATCACTGAAAATAAATTAAGGATGAGATATACTTGAACAAGAAGATGATTGACGCAACTGTCTTGCCATTTTCCGGTGTGCATAATTAGCCTGCATTTATTTAAATAAGAAATTGGTTATTTCATACAAAAGGAAGTACATATTTACGTTAACAACTCAAGGATCCAAAATTATGGTGTCACAAAGTCTATTTTCACAATTTTTTCATGTATGTGCAAATAAAAGGCGACTCTTATTTCTAATAGAGATATTTGTTGGAAAAAAAATACAAATAAACCTCGCATTTATTTAATAACTTAGACTTTTGAATTCGGTGAAAAACCATATGATATATGGTTCATTTATTGCTAAACCAAATATTTGAAACCTTCGCCTATTAAATACACATTTTTCTATAAATAATTATTTATCAAAAGACATGTTTGATTGTATTAAAAAAATCCGTACTTTAAAAAAAATATAATTATGACCTGCACATGATGGAGGCTTCCTGAAACATAACGTTATGGATCTGATGGGCAGAATAGCCAGGAACTTGTGAATTCTTCTCATAGTGACTTCCAAAATTATCACAACTTCGATACCTAATTCAGGCATATAAAAACATTAGATAAGCTTAGTGAAAAGTCCATTTTTTGAAATTAAAATATTTGAAGTTTAATATATAAGTATATGATTACCTAGGTATTACCTCAAAATAATTCAGATTGTTTATTTGTCAATATAAATAAACAATTTAACTTATTAACACATTAATAAATACAAAATTAAAATAAAATAATGCTTATATATTATATCTAAAAAAAATTTAAATTTAGTTAAGATGGTTTGTTATAAAACTATTATTTTCTATTAGTGAAGTACAGTTTAAAAGCTAGCAGCGATGATAGTTGAAGTGGTGACAGTCAATGGTAAAGTTGTGAGAAGGTGATTGGTAGTGGTCATGGACAACTAGCTATGGTGATTGTGCAATAGTGGTCGGTGGTGACTAGCTATGGAAGTAGTTGCGATGAATGCTAGTGGCAGATGATTGTTGTTGTTGTTGGTTGCCGATGGTAATTTAGCTTGGAATAGTAGATAGAGTTTTTATAAAAAGACACCTTTATATGAATATTTAACACCATCTCTCTCTTGATGTTTTCAAGAGTTTATACAAGATCTCAATTGAACGGGTATAAAAAAGAAAAATAAATACATTTAATGGGTTAGTAGTTGAATGAATCAGATTAAAACCTCTTTTATACGAATTTAAACGGGTCTCAGCCCTATAATCAAAGAAAATAAAAGGAAAGCAAGAAAAATTCTCTTACATTGTTAAATCAATGAATCAACAGAGAAAAGCAGAACGCCATAACTTCATAGACGATGATTTAGAAAAGCTTACAATTGAGTATATTATTGAGCGGATACATGCATCTTATATATAATGCTCGAAATTAATTCTATTTTTTCACTAGATTTTTCTAGATTTTATCATATGAATACAGATGGAATGAAATGAATTTAACAACTCGGCATCCAAATTTCGTATTTCTAAATTGGTAAGGAGATCTGGTTTAAAATGATATTTTAAATTACCTTCACAACTGGAAAGAATGTATGTGCGCATATATTTAGAACATTTAAAAAAATAAAAAATGTACTATATATTAAATGGTGCATTCTTTACTTTTAAATTCAAGATTTGACTCTAATCAATAATATTTGTCACGATCCAAAATTTACTATAAGTCGTGATGACGCCTAACGCCACCGTCAGGCAAGCCAATGTTGATTTATCAATTTATTTACTCATTTTATTACTTTCGAAATCGTAATCTCCATTAATTTAATGGTTTAAAAAAATAAAAATTTCAGGGTAAGATGAAAATAAATATGCAGTTACAATGACGAACAACCAGTAGGTGTAACGACCCCGCCAATAATTTTGAGATTTGTAAGCCCGTTTCCCTATTTACTACTCCTTTTGTACTCTACAACTGTTATATGACTTACCGTTTTAGTTGATTCGGGTCCGGAGAGATTTCAGAGTGAATTAAGACACTTAGTCTCATAATTAAAAGCTTAAGTTAGAAAAGTTGAAAGGATATTGACTTGTGTGTAAATGACCTCGGATTTGAAATTTGATGGTTCCGTTAGCTCCGTTAGGTGATTTGGACTTAAGAGCATGTCCGGATTTTGATTTGGCGGTCCTTAGTAGAATTAGGCTTGAAATGGCGAAAGTTGGAATTTTGAAAAGTTTGACCGGGAGTGAACTTTTTGATATCGGGTTCGGATTGAATTTTCGAAAGTTGGAGTAGGGTCGTGTGGTCATTTTTGACTTGTGTGCAAAATTGAGGTTAATCTGACGTGATTTGATAGGTTTTGACATTGTTTGTAGAATTTGGAAATTTCAAAGTTCATTTGGCTTGAATCCGTGTGCTATTAGTATTTTTGATGTTGTTTGAGGTGATTTAAGGGCCTGACTATGTTCGTATCATGTTCTAGGACTTGTTGGTATGTTTGGTTGAGGTCCCGGGGGCCTCGGGTTAATTTCTGATGGTTAGCAGACTTGGAGTTTGATTTGAGGAACTACTGAAGTTTGGACTCAGCTGGTGTGATCTCACCTGCGAGGGTTTTGGCTGTAGGTGCGATGCTGCAGGTGGAGCGCAGGTGCGGAAGTGATGGAGGTCAACAGAGGCCGCAAGTGCGATGATTTTCCCACACCCTCAATTGCGCAGATGCGGGCTAGGAGTCACAGGAGCGGAGGCAGCTGGGGTTATTGGTTTCCGCAGAAGCGTTCGTTTTCCGCACAAGCGGACGCGCAGGTGCGAGCCCAGGCTCTGCAGGTGCGGAAATGCCCTGTCAGAACCTATATAAGCGAGGTTTGCGAGGATTTTTGCCATTTCTAACATTTTGAGCTCGGATTTTGGAGGTTTTTGAGAGGATTTTTGAAGAGATTCTTGAGGTAAGCTCCTTATGTTCATTTTTTTTCCAATAATTATGTTTACCCACTGATTTTTCCACCTAATTGGTGTGCTTTTGAGGTGAAATTTGAGGGTTTGAGGCTAAGGGTTTGGAGAGTTAATTTTGGGGACTTGAATGGCCATTTGGTGTCAGATTTTGTTAAATTTGGTATGGTTAGACTCGTGAGCGAATGGGCTTTGGGGTTCTGTACTTTTGTTGGACTTTTGACTTTTGGCCAATTTTGGATTTTGGCTTATAAATTCGTATTTTTCTTGTGGAATTGATTTCTTTAGCCCATATTGATTTTATTGTACTGCTTGTGGCTAGATTTGGGACGTTCGGAGACAGATGTGAGAGGCAAAGGCGTTTTGGAGTAGAGTTTTGCTCGGATTGAGGTAAGTAATATTTTCAAACTTGGTTTTGAAGGTTTGAAACCCCGACTTATGTGTTATGTGGTTGGTCTTAAGGTGATGCACATGCCAAGTGACGGGCGTGCGGGCGTGCACTGTAGAATTGGGACCTGGTCGATTCCATGGCACTGTAAAGTGGTCATATCTTGTTGATATCCATGTTTTCACCACGTGATAAAATAAATGAGCTGTCAATCATGCTAGAGATCATGTTTAGGCTATATGCTGGTACCGTTGGAGCCCATAGTGGTCGTTTCTTGCTGTTGACTGACTCATCTCATTGCTATTTCGTACTGAGTCATATTCATTTCACACCATATCTCAGTCTCTATTGTTATTACTGATACATCATATCATCATTTTCGAGCTAGTTTCATGACATTTGTGAGCCCGTGAGTGAGACTAGAGAGATTGATGACTGAGTGAGGCCGAAAACCTGATTATGAGTGATATTTATG